GCGGAAGACCAAGAACCTGCTGCAGGAGTGGAACGAAGTACGGTCGAGGCCGCGTGGCGACGCCAGAAGCAGCAGGGACAGCACCAGTACCCTCAGTAGGAGCACCCGCTCCAGTAGCACCTCCAGCAGCTCCAGAACCTCCCGCAGCACCAGGAGCACCTCCAGCAGGACCGCCAGCGGCAGTCTCAGCGCCAACACCCGCAGCAGCACCAGCTCCAGTCGAACCCGCAGGCCCAGCAGCTCCAGTACTACCAGTACGAGCACCTACAGGACCCGCGACCGCATCACCCTCAGCAGCCGAAGAACCTCCAGCACCAGCAGCACGACGCCAGCGCCGGGCAAACCACTCGCGTAGCTCCTGTGGAGAGAGTGGCTCCCGGCGAGACGAAGCACCCGGAGAACCTCCAGGTGGAGCACCTCCACACGCAGTACCCCCAGGCGTAGCACCCCCAGGCTCAGCACCCCCCGGCTCAGTAAGCCCTGGCTCAGCACCCCCAGGCTCAGCATCCCTAGACGTAGTACCCTCAGGCTTAGCACCCCCAGGCTCAACACCCCCAGACGCAGCACCCCCAGGCCCCGCACCCCCAGGTCCAGCAGCCCCAGGCTCAACACCCCCAGCGGCAGCACCCTCAGCAGCACCAGAGTCACCAGTGACCTCGACAGGCGCGACTGCGTCTACCTGGGACACACCTAAAGGGGCAGGACCCTGAGGGGGCAGGGGGACTATCTGAGGGGGACCTGGTACTAGGAAGAGTGGGGGTGGGGGGAGGGACGGAGTGCGGTAGGGGAAAAGGCGGTAGTAGGGGACCGACTTGTCAAACGTGATGTCCTGGGAGGACAGAACACGGCGAGAGGTGGGGTGGTAGAACTGCCACCCAGGCGCGTCAGGGGAGAACCCTAGGAAGACGCAAGGAGCAGCACGAGGGGACAGCTTGTCCGCAGACAAGTCGCGGACAAACGCCCGAGATCCCCACACCCGGAACGCCGACGCATCGCCAACCTTCCCCGTCCATAGCAGGGCTGGGGAGGTCTCCGGCCTGGAGACCCTGGGGTGGAGGTTGAGCTGATGCGCCGCGTACCTGACCGCAAACGGCCACACAAAATGGGGGGCAGCCGCATGCATCATAGACGTACGAGCGACGTCCATGACCATGCCAATGCGGCGCTCAGCAATCCCATTTTGCTGCGGTGAGTCCGGAAGCGTGAAGGTCTGACGGATGCCTCGTGCACGTCAGAAGGCTCGTAGAAGGTCAGAGGAAAACTCTCCGCCTCTGTCCGAGTGCAGACGCAAAACACGAAAGTCCGAGCCAAAGTGCTGCCTAAGCTGAAGACGAGCTGCGCGGATCCAGTCGATCAACACCTCAGTGACATCACCCTTGCTGCGCAGGGGGAAGACTGTGGTGTAACGCGAGTAGTCGTCAACAACGAGCAGAAAGTAGCGCTCGTGACCCTGTCCACCGACGCGGGCTGGGCCCCACACGTCCATGTGAAGCGTCTGCAACGGGGCCTCTGTCGGAGGAAACTGGGAGGAGTGGGGGGCAGCCCGCTGGCGCCCCTCGACACAGGGGACACAGGGAGGGCCAGGGCCCTGAGGAAGGGGAGGGAGGGACCGGGGGAGACAAGACACAAGAAGACGGGAGGCCATGCCTCTGAGCCGAAGCAGAGAGGGGTGGCCAAGGCGGTGGTGCCAGAGGAGAGTCTCGTGAGACAGGAGACGACACGAACAGGGGGCAGACTCAGGACCAGACCTAGACGCCGCAGCAAACACCTGACCCGACGCAGCTACCCTACCAGACTCAGCAACTGGAGAGGACGCAGTGGTCAGTGTGTACAGGCTCGACCCCGGCTGACGGGTAAATGTAGCCAGGTGCCGGCCTCTGCTAGCCTCTTAACAGTGCGTCACCCGTTGACGCGCAGGAGTGAACTGGTGTACTCCCCCATCCTGTAGGTCAGCACCACTCACAAGGTTCGTCGAGAACGAGGGGAGGTAGAGACCAGACAGGGTGCCAGAGGGAGCCGCCGGACAAGGGAGGACTGTGGAGAAGCGAGACAGGACAGGACCCCTAGAGGGGTCAGCCAGAGACACCGCAACCGGCCGACTAAGCGGCGTGAGTGTGGTGCGGTCTCGAAAGAAGGAGCGAGACGCCCCAGAGTCAAGGGTGAAGGTGAGGGAGGCCAAAGCCGACGTAGTACCTGAGAGCGCAGACTCACCAGTACCTGAGGACGCAGACACACCAGCACCTAGAGCAGCAGCGTCGCACGCACCTAGGGCCGCAACCGTACCAGTACCTAGAGTAGCAGTCTCAATGCCCGGATCGGGCGGGAAACACCGATAACAGTCACCCTCATCACTAATAGACACAGCATACATGGCAGAAAGAATAGCATCAAAGTCAAGATCAAAGATGGCCACACCCGCCCTAGACAGCTCGCCCCAGCGAGGGATCTCTGAGGCCTCCGGGAACTGGTGACGCCACGCGTCTGTTAGGCGGCCAAAGCAGCGCTGGGTGGGGTGCGCACCCCCACACTGCTCACCCGCACGGTCGCGGTGCGCAGGACGTAGGTGCACGGACCAAAACCCCCACCCCGCTGGCGTGCAGTGTACCACTCACGGAGCTGCTGAGGTGACAGGGTCTCACGACCGCGCTGCTGCTGCTGGCGCGAGCCACCACCGGAGCCACTCCTCTGCGACGACCCGCGACCAGCTCCACCGCCACCCCCACCGCCTCCGCCTCCTCCGCGGCCTCCACCACTGCCGCCGCCTCCGCCGCCGCCTCCACCGCCGCCTCCTCCGCCACCTCCGCTCCCATTGCCACCGCCGCCGCCGCCTCCGCCTCCACTGCCGCCACCGACCCCTCCACCCCCACCTCCACTCCCACCGCCACCCCCACTCCCCCCACCGCCTCCACCTCCACCTCCACCGCCCGCTCCTCCAGCTCCCTTGCCCCCCTTGCCCTTGCCAGGGCGGCGTCTCCCGCTAGGGGCAGACGCCGCGCCGACCGACTCAAGACCAAGGAGGTCGGCCGCAGCAGCAGAGGCAACAGAGGGCAGCAGGGGGGAGGGAGAATACCCCTCAAAGATGGGGGTGCGCGGGTCACCTCGAGAGGCTCCTACAGCGACGATGCTCTTCTCTATCGCTAGGAGGGCCTTTTCGAGGAGGTCTACGGTGAGCGTGGTGGGACAGACTGAGAGAAAGTGGTCCCTGACTACGCGAAGGGAGTCAGGGAGGCGAGTGACTAGGAAGTACAGAGTGATGTACATGGGGGGGGGGTTCGCGGCGTAGAAGTCAGCAGGGAGTGCAGCGCGGTAGCGAGTGTCACTAGTGCGGAGGTGCGTGATGAGGTCAGCTACGGTGGGAAAAACAGCAAGGTCAGGGAAGAGGTACGGCAGCATGAGACGGCTCAGTGCAGCAGTGGCAGGGGAGGAGTAGCGCGCGACTACAGCGTCGTACAAGGTCTGAGCACTCTTGTACTGGCTAAAGTGCGCACGCTCGGAGGTAGGGAGGTGGCGACGCACAACAAGACGTGCAGCAGCGTCGCGCGTGGCCCACTGGGAGCGAACAGTGGCGTCAGCATTAGCAGCAGGGGCAGGGGAAGCGCCAGAGGTAAGGTCAAAGAGAGAGAGGCCGTCTTCCCTATCGCACTGTAGGAACAGCTGCAGGTCGTCGACCCAGACCTCAAAGTCTCGGCGGCAGGGCGGCTCGGCGGCAGGGCGGCTCGGCTTCCGGGCGGCTCGGCGGCAGGGCGGCTCGGCGGCTGGGTGGCTCGGCTTTGGGGCGGCTTGGCGGCAGGGCGGCTCGGCGGCAGGGCTGCTCGGCTTCCTGGCGGCTCGGCGGCAGGGCGGCTCTCGTGCAGGGCGGCGCGGCGGCGCTCTCGTGTAGGTATGGCGGCGGGTGAGCCGCAGTCAGGGCGGCGGGTGCGCCGAAGGTAGGTCGGCGGGTGGCCGCAGGTAGGGCGGCGGGTGCGCCACAGGTAGGTGGGCGGGTGGCCGCAGGTAGGGCGGCGGGTGCGCCACAGGTAGGTCGGCGGGTGGCCGTAGGTAGGGCGGCGGGTAGGGCCGCAGGTAGGTCGGCGGAGGGCCGTAGGTAAGGGCGGCGACGGGCCGTAGGTAAGGGCGGCGACGGGCCGTAGGTAGGGCGGCGACGGGCTGTAGGTAAGGGCGGCGACGAGCTGGTGCAAGGGCGGCGCGAAGCCGCGGGTAAGGGCGGCGACGGGCCGGGGCGGCGCGAAGCCGCAGGTAAGGGCGGCGACGGGCCGGGGCGGCTCGAAGCCGCAGGTAGAGGCGGCGCGAAGCCGCGGGAAGGGCGGCGACGGGCCTGGGCGACGCGAGGCCGCAGGTAGGGGCGGCGCGAAGCCGCCGGTGAGGGCGGCGCAAAGCCGCGGGTAAGGGCGGCGACGGGCCGGGAAAAAAGGCGGCGCGCCGCAGCCGCTAGGGCGGCTCGACGCGACCGTAAGGGCGGCGCGACGGGCCGCTAGGTGCGACCCGACGGGCCGCTAAAAAAAAGGCAGGCGCGCTTCGGTGGGCCCAAGGAACAGTCCCTAGGAGGGGACCTGCTCTGATTCCATGTGAGAATGAGAACGAGAATGCATCAACTATGAATGAAGTGGGTACATATAGGAAACCCTAAATGGGTTGTACCCCCTATGTGATACCCCACTATGGCCTACACAACAGCATAAGCTATAATGTTCTGACATAAGGAACTCATGCTCTTATCCCGTGGTACTGAGCTTTTCAGATTAGCCTATAAGGTTATGTGGTGCACCCAACCGATGTAGTTGTCAATCTGTTAGTAACCAAGGCATCAACAAGTAGGGCTCTTGTATCCCAGTGTAGGTAGGTGTAGTAGTTCCCCAAACTGCTCTTACATGGCACTGCTCATTCCGTGCTTCCATAATCCAAACATACTGGGTATATTTGCCTAGTAAAGTAATAAATTACTGGCATACATAACTGCACGCCCAGAACCCGGTGCCGGCCTAGGCGGCATTGCCTTGCTTCTAGGGAGCAATGGGCCCCTGCGCCAATAGCAAATGAGAAATGTCATTTACACGCACAAGTCTCCAACCCGCGGCCGGCGAGAAAGCCACCGTACTCACTGAAGTGTGATCCACTACAATCTTGTGGGTCAGGTGAGGGCTCGACCCCATCAAACCCCGTAACAGGCATTTAATCGCAGTGCAATGCGAGAATATGCCAATGCGGCAAGTTGCCACCCTCTCGCAGCTTTCGTGCCCACCCGGTTCGTCCCCACTGGAGTCACAAGCCTTGGCAGCCATGAGTCGGGCGGCGTGGTTGGTGGCGAGGCGATGCAAGAAGCTGACCATGCGATATTCCACCTGCAGCCAGAGCCAAGGGCACCACCGCGCACGACCAACACGCACGGAGTGGGCACGGCGAGCATGCCAGAAGGAAGCGGACCCAGTCAAGTGTATCCAAGCCAAGGGAACCAAGAAGGTAGCGAGGTGCCATGTGTAGCGAGGTTGTCTTTGAGACGTCTCAAAAACAACCTCGCTACACGTGATGTCTCAAAAGCGAGCATGCCAGAAGGAAGTGGACCCAGTCAAGTGTTTCCAAGGGAACCAAGAAGACTTTTGAATCGACCCAAAAGTCACCCAGTCAAGTGTATCCAAGGGAACCAAGAAGGCAGCGAGCGAGGTGCAGTGTACCTATGTTTGTGCTCCACTCCACTCACCAGCCACACATTGCAAGCAGCTGCCATCGCCCACCCACCAGCAACCCCCATGGCTCTTGTGAAATCCACACCATCGGAATCACACTCACTACTTTTGACTGTTTCACAAGTTGAATCAGAACCATATGGTGTACTAACCAGTATTACTCCTTCAAAAAGATGACTCGGCACACTACAGTGTACACAATAATCATTAACAAAGCTGACCTCGCGCTGCGATTCGCCGCCCGGGTAGCAAAAGTCGGGCTGAGAGGCTGTCATCCATGCCAGGGCAGCATCGGAAGAAAATAATTCTGCCCGGGACTTTCCCTCCCAGTGGCCTGCACTCATCTCTTGAAGGTCAGGCGCTTCCTGTATGCGGTCGGTTGGAAAGCCCAGCTCCTGGGGGAACGAGGGGGGAGAAAGGGGGAAGAGGGCCAGTTGTTGTGTCTCCTCAGGCAATGAGTTCCCTCCCAGTGGCCTGCACTCATCTCCTGAAGGTCAGGTGCTTCTTGTATGTGGTTGGTTGGGAATCCCAGCTCCTGGGAGTGCAAGAGAGGGTAAAGGGATTACATTATGCAGGGCAAAAACAGTGATTACCCCTCTTTCGGAATACGGAGATGATAAGAAAGTGATACACCCTTGCTTCACAAACTGCCCCCAATCGCGCAACTGCTTTCCGTTTCAGCAGGGGTGAGCGAATGAGTGATTGAGTGAGAGAGTGATTGAGTGAGAGAGTGATTGAGTGAGAGAGTGATTGAGTGAGAGTGAATGGATGAATGAGTGAATTGGTGTGGGAAAGCGTGAGAGGGGCTTTCACCTGGCAGACGAGCCGAGCAGTGTGCGTGGCGCGTGGGATGGGTGAGCAGAACACCTCGTCCCACTGAAGGCCAAGGTAGCGGCGCAGGAAGGTGCCCAGAGACACGGCTTGCTGGCAGCCCGTGGGGGTGAGACGGGCAGCTGGGGAGCGACCAGCTATGAGGGCAGGCGACTGGGTTGACTGCCCGTGCCTGGAATGGGAGAAGGAGGGGGAATGGGAGGGAGGGGACTTTTAAATTGTCCTGAAAGGCAGCTGGGGAGCGGCTGGCTCTGAGGGCAGGTGACTGGGTTGAAGACCCGTGCCTGGGTTGATGGGAGATGGGAGGGAATGGGGGTAAAAAAGGGAATGATTGACATGCTGCAGGAAGGTCCCCAGAGAGACACGGCTTGCTGGCAGCCCGTGGGGGTGAGACGGGCTGCTGGGGAGCGACCAGCTATGAGGGCAGGCGACTGGGTTGACTCCCCGTGCCTGGGGTAGAGCAAAGGAGGGGAGAGGGTGTCGGGTAGAGGGGTATACAGAAGGACTGGGTTGATCATGCGAGTTACTTGAAGCAATCACTTGAGATTATTCACCTGAAGCATCACCCGAATCATCACCTGAAGCATCACCTGAAGAATCACCTGATGATGTGGAACTCGACGCTGATGCAACTACTGTTAGCAGCCTGCATGGGCGAGAGCCAGGCACACGTTGGTGGGGAGAGGGGGAGCAGGGAGGCCGCAATGGAAGAGGATTTCTCTGTATCTGCTCTTGCTTCATCTGCTTCAACTGCTTCAACTGCTGCTGCTTCTGCTTCTGCCTGTGCCGCTGCTGCTCCTGCTGCGTCAGCAGGTGCTGCTGCTGCTCCTTGTTCCTCGGTTTCTCCGCCTGCTGCCTCTCCTGTTACCATCGGTGCCTCTTGCGCTGCTAGAGTCTGCCTGGGCGCGGCTCCCTCTCCCTCTGCAGCAGCAGCGGCATCGTTCACTACAATATTCGGGGCAGAACCAGACGCATCAGTAGCAGCAGCAGTTGCAGTATCAGCATCAACTTCAGCTTCAAGAGCAGCAGCAGCAGCAGCAGCATCAAGAGCCGCAACGGGAGCATCAGCTACAGCGCTTGTCACGGCGCTACTAAGAGATGCGGCAGCAGGTGGACACGCATGCATTCCGCCTCTGCCACTGCCCATGCTGCCACTGCCCACATTATCCCTCTCCGCGCTGCCCCTGCCAGTAGGGGAGAGCAGCTCTGGAGTGCCAAACTCACTGTCTGACTCCCACCCGCTCTCCCCCACACCAACAGCCACACCGCTCCCCTTAAAGCCCTCCCCAGAAAAATCAGCACATCCTTCGATCCCCACCACCCCATGCCCCTTCTGAGGCGCCTCAAAAACCAACTCATGTCCCTCACTCAACTCATCCCCACCCCCCTCATCCCCTTCACCCGCCTCACTCTCCTCGCCCCCCTCACCCGCATCCCCCTCAACCACACCCCTCCCACCCGCCTCACCCGCGTTCCCTCCCAGCCCACCGTCCTGCACTCCCAATGCTAGCTGCCCCCCCCCACACCTCTCGCCATGTGCGTCTCGCCCTCCCACGGCACTACCATCACTACCATCACCTCCCTCACCCCACTCTCCCGCCTGACCCGTGTTCCCTGCCAGCCCGCCGCCCTGCACTGCCAATGCCACCTCCTCCCCCACACCCGCCTCTGTATGCGTACCATCGTCCCTCTGAGGCCTCTCAAAAGCCGTCTCTGCGTGTGCTCTTTCCCCGCCCAAAGCAGTACCATCACCCTCACCCCCATTCTCCTCCTCGCCTGCTTCATCCAACCCCATTGTGCCACCTGGACCCTCTGCGATCACTGCTGTTGCCACCTGTGCTGCCACCCCAGTTGCCACCCCAGTTGCCACCCCAATTGCCACCCCAGTTGCCACCCCAGTTGCCACCCCTGCTGCTTCTGCAACCGCTGCACCCTCTGCAGCAACCTCTTTCCCTGCAACTGCTTCTTCTGTCGTTTTCCCTGCTGCCGTTTCTCCCTCCGCAAAGCCCCCCCTCTCTGCAGCCGCCTCACTCTCACTGTTTGACGCATGTGACGCGGGAACCAGCACTCGAGGTGACTTGTCAGTCGGCTCAACACTCACCCCTCCCTCCGCGCCACCCTCCCTCTCTGCTTTCGCCTCCTCACTGGCCCTGTCTAGTGCGCGTGACACAGCAGCTAGCACCCGCTGCAGCCTCACAGGAGAGCCTGGCTGCAACGAGGCTGCGGCTTCGGCAGCAGCAGCATTGGAAGCAGCCTCGGCAGCCGCCAGAGCAGCGCCGGAGGTTTGGAACGGAGCCACGGAAGCAGCTTCGGTGATTTCTCTGCTGCCCAAAACAACCCAATGCGCCCCCATGCCTGCGCCTAAGCTTCCCCCGACCTCGATCCCTCCCCCCACCCCACTTTTCCCCTCTATACCCACGCGTCCCCCACCCGGCCCAGGCAGTTTCACAGGAGGTAATGCTGCCCCCCCTCCCGCTAACATTCCCCTCTCCCTCTCCATCCCTCCGCCCACTTCCCCGAGTCCCCCCATACCCAATCCACCCACCATGCTCCTTCTTTCTCGCAGCGCTCCGTCTTCTCCCAATGATAATTCTCCAGCTGACTTGGCGTGCGCGGGTGCCAGCGATGCAGCGGTGACGTGTCCGTTCCCGCTCGTCACGGCGGCCACGTCAGCGTCGGGAGCGACGCGCCCGTCGGCGTAAGTGGCGGAATCGGATTTGCTGAGGCGAGACGATCCGCGCGAACCCCTCCGCCTGTGGTGCGCCTTGGACTTGCGCGTACCGGGATGCGCGGAGAGGGTACCGGGATGCGCGGACACGGGGAGATTAGCAGAATCGTACGGTTCCGCCGGATCAACGGAACGAGGGGAGGCAAGGTCAAGGGAGTCAACGGAGCGGGGCGAGCAGATAGACTCGTCGCGGTCAAGCGAGTCAACGGAGTCAACGCTATAACTTCTTGCAAGGTTGCTCCCCCCTGGAGGACCGCCCCGCTTGCCGTCACCCGCTCCTTCCGCGTGGTTCTTCCGCCGTTGCTGCTCCGCCTGACGCTCTTGACTCGTAAATTCCGCGGAGCCTGCATCCTCCCCCTGCGCCTTGCGACGCTGTCGCTCTCGTCGCCGTTGCTGGTTACCCTGTTGTCCCTCGTCGCCCTCCTCGTCGGAATCCGAAACGACTAGAATGGACTCGACCGCTCCCATGTTAGCGAGACGACGATGCAAGCTCTCTCACTTGTAGCGGAACACCGTGCAAAGCGGATAGATTTGTGTCACCTCACAGAGTACTTCAGGATTCAGCTGGTGCGGCGAGAACGAAAATGGCAGCCGTTGCTTTCATGTGCTCGAGGCGAGCCTGTGAGTTTGTGCGAGTGCAATGAATCCGCCAAGCCATGGAACGAACTAGAAATGACTGTGCAGTACCGCAAGGTAACGTCAGGTAAACTCCGTCCGTGTGCATGGAAATACGGCATTCCACAGACATTTCAGGATTAGGATTCAGGAGGATTGGGGAAGCTGAAAGGAACGAGCCCAAGGTTTCGGTTTTGGTTTCGGTGGTTTCCGTTCTGTGAACGTTCAAGTAGGACTCGCGCGGGTCCCGACGAAATGTGGAAGTCTCGAGGGATGACATTGGTCCTTGTTGGCGTTTTGTACCCTTCAGCGGATCAATAACGGATATGCAGATGAGTGAGTTAGTACACTATATGAACTGGTTCATATCACTCGTGTAGAATTCTCGATTTATCGTGTGCACTTTACGTGCGGGGTTGCTACACTACACAGCTGCACCTCCACCGTCATTTTCTGGGCCAGCAAGCAGAAATGGCATCATTGTCACCCGTTCCGCTCGCTTGCCCAAATGCACCGACCAGAAACCCCCAAGACCAGACCAAAACCAGCTTCCACTCGGTAAATTTACACACGCTCCCCAGGCACCCTCAAGCCATCATCCCCCGAATTCCTGGGTCAATCCGACCTACCCCCTCCAGCTAGGATTCCCCATCACCCTCCCCCAACCTCCCCACTTCCCCCTCTTCCCACCCCCGCTTCACGAAACTCCCGCTCCCCGTTTTCTCCGTAAAGCGGAGCGGAAATCGAAGTAGCCAGTTTTGAAAATTGTGCTTCAAGAATGCAAGCAATGCCGTGGCACCCCACATTGAGCTACCAGTTTGGTTTAGCCAGATGCCTGCAAGGCCGGTAGCTGATGGAAGGTGCTCTTATCTAGAAAAGCTCTCTATTTAGGTCGTTGGGAAAGTGTGGGTTGGCGCTAGTGATAGGAGACACACATTTACGCCTGATTGATGATCCTCAGGCGGCTTTCAAATAATATATATTTATTAGAAACGAATTTACGTCTTGGAAATTGTGTCAGTTCAACAGCATAGCCGGAACCACCCGAAGCCACAATCGTCGCCGTTTGGACTGACGACCTCGCGGTATCGAAGCTCCATCGAGCGTCCTTAATGGTGCCAACCATATCTCCCTTTACACCCTCTCAACATTTAGGAAACACATTGAACAACTTCCCAACCCCCCCAGAAGTGATTAATGGTGCCCGCCATCCTTCTCCCTCTCCCTTTCAACGTTTTCCTTTGGTTTATTTCATCTCTGCTCTATTTTTCGATTTCCTCCTCCCAACTCCGTCTTCTCTAGCACGTTAAGCTCTTCTTATTTTCTCCTTAGCAAAATGATTCGTGAGCGCAACTCGCTCTAAGCTTGGCATCATGCCAGCCTCTCTGCATCTCGACCCCCTCACTGATTTCGCTTCGAAATCCCTTGGTCCGTGTCGAGGAAGGCAACGGTGAGTTTTGAGTCGACTCGAACTATATAACACTAGTCCCCTGATCCTTCAGCCTGGGTGTCGAAAACGGACTACTAGTTACCTGTGCTCCATGATCCCTTGCTCCGCGTGTCAATTGCAATCTCTGCTGCATTTTGGTCCGTCCGCTGATCCCTGCTATTTCCTACCTGATTCCTTGGCTGGTACACAGGACGCCGACGGCAACCCGTCCGCCTCGCCGCTCCGAGCTGTTGCTTCCGGCCTGCTCGCGCGATTTAAGGCAAGTCGCACAGTCGCGTACTCGCTTCCTACGAGTCAAGGCATGTCGCACATTCGCACACTCGCCGCCGTCATTCACAACAAGTCGCAAACTCGCTGCCGGCCCGTCAAGGCAATCCGCACACTCGTGCCGGCCATTCACGACAAGCCGCTTTCTCGCTGCCGGCTGTTTTACCTCACGGCATCGCATGCCGTAGGATGCTTCACTCTTCCGCCAGCGTCTCACTCTTTTCCCCTCCTCTTTCCCCCCTCCTTCTCCGCCTTCCATACCCCCCTTATTTCCCATCCCCCCCCCCCCCCCCACCCCCCCCCCCCCCCCCCACTTTCCCCCCTTTTCTCCCTCCCCACGCCCTCTCCCCTCCCCCCAACCCGCGCGTCCAGCCCGGGGCCCCCGCGCCAGCCAAGTCCGCCAAGGACGCGGAGGCGGAAGAAGCGGCGGCGGCCGCCGCCAGATTCCCCAAGAGCAGCAGTCGAGGCAGCAGCACCAGCAGCACGCCCACGTCCGGAGGCGCCACCCCCAGCGCCTTCAGCCGCGGGGGCGCCGGCGCTGCTGGGAGCGCGGGTACCAGCGGGGCGGGGCGGCGGAAGGAGGAGGAGGAGGGAAGGCCGCGGAACAGAGTTCCGGGGGCGAAGAAGCCCTCCGCTTCTTCCGCCAGTGGGGGGGACGACGAGCTGCTGCGGACGGTTTCGGGGGCGTCTACTGACTCGTCTAAGGGGAGGGTCAGGCGCGCGGCTGTGCAGGCGGAGGCGGGGGAGGAGGGGCGCGCGGGGCGGGTGAGGGCCGGCGGACTGGTGGAGCACGCGGAGGGGATGGAGGGGCATGATGTGAGTCGCGTGCCCGCCGTTGACTGCCGTTGACTGTTGACTGTGCTTGAATGCCTGTTCTTGACTGCCGTGTGACACGGAGGGGATGGAGGGGGCGCATGATGTGAGCCGCGTTTCTCTCTCCTATTTATGGCCTCTCTGGCCGTGACTGCTCTTGACTGCCATGCTGCCATGCTCTCCCTAAAGCTCCAGCCACACCCGCCCCATCGCGTCCCCGCTATGCCGTGCCTCGTTTGCAGGACGAGGACGCCCACAGGAAGAAGAAGGACGCCAAGCGCTCTGCGCGGGTGAGAGCTCTCCTCTACCCCCCGGCCTTCCGCCCCCACACCCGCTCGCCCACAATCAATTTGCTCTCATGTTCAATAAGTCTCAACCTCCCGTCCCACCCCACCCCGCCCCGCCCCACCCCACCCACCCCACCCGCAACCCTCCCTCTTCCCCTCCTCTCCCCCCCACCCCTCAATTAATTCTACCACCTGTTCCAGCAATTTGTTCTCGTGCTCAACTTCTAAACGTAAACGCCCTTCGCTTGCCACTCACACCCCTCTCGTTCCTCGTCACCTCCTTCCCTTTTGAGTCGACTCAAAAGTCACCTCCTTCCCTCCTACCCCATTGTGTTCCCTTTCGGTTTGTTTTTTTCTGCCTGTCGCCCCTCGTTGCTCCTCGTCACTCCCCGTCCCCCCACCCCACGTCCCTCCCCTCCTCGCTCCCCTGCCCTCCTTCCTTCTTTTCGCTTTCTCTCCTCGCCTCGCTCCTGTTCGGCCTATCCTCGCTCGCTCCACTGCTCACGCATCTTCCTGTTCCCTTCCGGTTTGATTTTTGCTGCATTTGCTGCCTTGGCCTATACTCTCTCGCCCCACTGCTCACGCATCTTCTTTTTCTCCTTCGCGCGTCTCCTCTTTCCGTCCCGTCTGCCCGCGCCCGTTCCCCTTCGCCCCCGTCGTCTCTCTCCGCGCCTCTCCCCTCCCCCTCCGCGCCAGAAGGAAGCGCTAGAAGAAATGCGCGCGGAGGTGGAGCACCTGCGGGAGCAGCTGCGGGACGCGGGGGAGAAGGCCAAGGAGGCGGACGACAGGGCGCGCGAGGAGGCGCGGAAGCGGCAGTACGTAGAGGCGGTGATGGCGGAGCTTGAAGAGCAGATGCAGGCGGAAACAGGCAAGCGAGAAGCCGCGGAAAAAGCGCTCAAGGAGGCGCGGCGGAAGCTGGAGCGCGCGGAGGGGGACGCGGAGGGCGCGGAGGGGAAGGAGAGGCGGGGCGGAGCGGGGGAAGAGGTGGCGGAGCTTGAGGAGCGGTTGGATGAGGCGGAGAGGCGTTGGGAGGAGGAGAGGGACCGAGCTTTGGAGCTAGAGCAGGAGTTACAGATGGTAGATGAGGAGATGAAACTAGAGAGAGAGTCTATGCGGGAAAGTATGGCTGCATATGCTAAGGGTATGGAGGATTTAGCGACTCAGGCTGAGGATGATTTCAGGCGGCAGATTGACGATTTGAAAGATGACTTGGAACGCGCGAATGCTGAGCTGGACGCGGTTAGGGATGAGCTGGACAGGGCGAATGGTGACGTGGAAAGAGGGAGGGATGAGCTGGAGAAGGGGAGGGATGAGGTGGAGGGCATGCGCGCGCGGGTGGAGGAGGCGGAGCGGACGGCGCAGGCTGCTGTGCGGAAGGTGCTGGAGGAGAAGGGGAGAAGGGAGGAGGCGGAGAGGGAGGCGGAGGAGTGGCGGAAGAAGGCGGAGAGCAGTGCGCGCGGAGAAGGAGGGGCTGGGGGCAGTGGAGAAGCGGGGGAAAAGAGCGAGAAGAGCGAGAAGAGTGAGGAGGAAGGGGGGAAGGGAGGGGCGGGGAGGATTGTGGAGTTGGAAAACGAATTAGAGGACCTAAGGGATAGGATAGAGGCAGCAGAAGCTCAGAAGGCGAATCTGCTGGAGCGGTGGGAGGAGGGCGAGCAGCGCAGGCAGGCAGCAGAGCAGCAGCGCGACAAGGCGGAGGCAGCGCGGAGGGAGCTCGAGGACGCAGGTGATTGAGCTCGAGGCGCAGGTGGGGCGGCAGAGGGGGGAGGTGGAGGAGGCGGAGAGGCGGCAGCGGACGCTCGAGGCGCAGGTGGTTGAGCTCGAGGCGCAGGTGGGGGAGCTCGAGGCGCAGGTGGTGGAGCTGGGCGCGCAGGTGGGGGTGCAGCAGGGAGAGGGCGGGGGAGGCGGAAGCGGAAACGAGGGCGGTTAAAACGCAGATGGCGGAGCTGGAAACGCAGGTGGGGGCGGAGCGGGCGAGGGTTGGGGCGGCGGAAGGGGAGATGAGGGCGCTGAATGCGCAACTGGCGGAGCTAGAAGCGCAGCTGGGGGCGCAGCGGGCGAAGGCGGACGAGGCAGAGCGAGCAATGGGGGAACTCGATTCGAAGCTGGGGCTGCAGAGGGAGAGGGGCGGGGAGGCAGAAGGGGAGGTGAAGGAACTAGAGGCCAAATTAGGCCAGCAGAGGGAACGCGCGGAGGCTGCAGAGAGAGAGCTTGAAGAGGTTAGATCCGAGCTTGGGCAGGTGGGACAGCTGAGGGAACAGGTAGAAGAGGCAGAGAGAGAGGTCAGGGAGCTGGAAGGGAAGCTGGAGAGGCAGAAGGTGCGGGCGGAGGAGGCGGAGGGGGCGGCGAGGCGCGTGGCGGAGGAGATGGGCGCGGAACTGGCGGGCATGCGCGAGCGGATGGTGGAGTACGTGATGGGGCGCAAGACCGCGGAGCACAGGGAGAGAGAGGCGAGTGCGCGGGGGGAGGAGGAGAGGGGGAGACGGGAGGAGGCGGAGAAGCGAGTGAGGGAGCTGGAGGAGGAGGTGCGGCGAGGGAAGGAGGCGGAGGAGAGAGTGAGGGAGCTGGAAGCGAGTGTGGCGCGAGGGGCGGTTGGGAGGGGAAGTGTGGGGGGGACGGTTGGGGAGGCGAGTGTGGGCGAGGGGAAAGAGGGTGAAGGGAAGCAGGATGCGGAGGAGAAGGGGGAGGAGGTGGTGGTGAGAGGAGAGGCGGGGGAATCGGAGTTGGAAGATCTGAGGGCGAAGTGTGCCCAGGCGCTGAGGTGAGATTTGCTGTGTGCTGTGTGCTGTGTGCCGTGCGCGGTTCGCACTATGTGTTGTGCCTTACTGCTGTGGTGCTTGCCTCTCCCTGCCTTACTGCTGTGGTGCTTGCCTCTCCCTGCCTTACTGCTGTGGTGCTTGCCTCTCCCTGCCTTACTGCTGTGGTGCTTGCCTCTCCCTGCCTTACTGCTGTGGTGCTTGCCTCTCCCTGCCTTACTCCCCTCTTCCTTAACCTGCTCCCTTCTCCGCCTCCACGCCCTATCCCCCAGGCAACTGGACGACACAGCGGAGGTCCAATCTTCATTACCTGGAGCTGCGGCACGAGCAGACGTTCTCCACGTGACTCCGTCCCTCTCCGTCCCTCCTTCACCCCACTCTGCAGGTAACTGGAGGACACAGCAGAAGTGCAGTCCTCTCTAGAGCAAGAACTGGATCATCTGTATCTGGAGCTGCAACACGAGCAGGAGCTGTCAATGGAGGTGGCGCTGGTGGCGCAGGAGGAGTGGCGGGGGCGACAGGACGCCCTCCGTGGGCTCACAGAGGAGTGGCAGGGCTTTCCTCTCATCCCTTGCCCCTCTTTCCTCACCACATTCCCACCCGCCCACCCGTCCTTTGCAGGCAACTGGAGGACGCAGCAGAGGCCCAGGGAAACTTGGAACAGGAATTGGACAACCTGTATTTGGAGTTGCAACACGAGCAGGAGCTCTCAACGGAGGTGGCGCTGGTGGCGGAGGAGGAGTGGCGGGGGCGCCAGGAGGCCCTGCGCGCGCTCGCAGAGGCGCACAGGCAGCTTGAGGCTCTCGGCGCCCTCGGCAGCGACGCAGCTGCCGCCGCCGCCGCTGCCGCTGCCAGCGCTGGCGCTTCTGCTGCTGGTGGTGCAGGCGGGGAATATGAGGGGCCTGTTATGGCGGAGAGGCAGGACAGCTTTGCGAGGCGGAGGGCAGGGGAGGCGCCCTTGCTGCCTCCGCGCCCCAAGCTCCCTGCTTCTGCTGACAGCCCCGGAGGAGATACCTCTGCTGCTGCTGCCGACAAGTCAGGCAGATTCTTGCAACCCCAGCAGCAGCAGCAGCAGCAGCAGGGCGAGAGCAGGGTCGAGGGCCGGGCATCGGGCGGGTTGGGGCTGGAGCGCACGTCGTCAGACATGCTGTCGTACGTGCACGGCGCGTCGGAGCTGCTAAAGGGGCTGGCTCGGCCGGACGAGGGCGTGAGCATGGGCATCAAGCTGCTGGCGCTCAAGAAGGGCCTCTCCTACAGCCGCGCCGTCTCCGAGTCTTTGCGCACCGACGCTGGCGTGGGAGCCGGCGGGTCGGGCGAAGCAGGGAGTGTGACTCCTCCTGGTTGGTCCAGTGAGGCTGGAGGGGCAGGGGCGGGGCTGGCAGGGGCAGCACTAACAGGGGCAGGGCAGGCAGGGGCAGGGCCGGCCACACACGCGTCTGCCAAGGCGGGGCGTATAAGCCGCTCTGCCTCGCGGCGGCTGAGCGTGTCGCTGCTCTCCCCGCGCTCGGCAGTGCAGCAGCGGTGGGAGCAGCTGTCAGCGTCGCTCATAGCAGAGCGAGAGGCGCACTCGGCGTCAGGGCCAGCCAGGTGGGGCCCCTGGCTGCACGGCCGCGGGCCCTGGTGGCCCTCTGTTTCTCCTGGCGTCCCAGGTGGTTCTCCAGGTGTTTTTCCAGGTGCTCCAGGGGTTTCGCCAGGTGGTTTGGTGGCGGGAGCGGCCGTGGGCCGGGGAGAAGCAGGGGATGTAGTAGCAGGGGGGGCAGGTGCGGCGGCAGGGGGGCAGTCCGGGCGGCATCGGTCGGCGTTTGTGCACGTGATGCTACAGCTGTCTCTGCACCGAGTGGGGTTGCTGGAGGATCGCTTACAGGCGGCTGTAGCGGCTGCAGCGGCTGCAGGAGCAGCAGCTGAAGCAGCCAAGGCAGCGGCTGTAGCAGGCGAGAGTGTGAGTGGGACTGTTACTGGCACGGCTGTAGCAGAGGCGGCAGGAGCTGCTGCTGCTACAGGTGCAGCTACAGCTACAGGAGCTGCTGCTGGAGAAAAGAAGGTGGGGCTGCTGGCTGCTGCTGTGTCTGTCTTTGCACCCAAACAGCCTGCTGTCGCCAGTGCTGCTGCCACTGCTGCTGCTGCTCCCGCGGCTACTACAGCTGCTGTGAAGGACAGTCAGGTAGGAGCAGGTGGAGGAGCAGCAGCAGCGGCAGCAGGAGCACCAGCAGGGGGCACAACAGAGAGAACAGCAGCAAAGTCGCAAAAGGGAGGATTGGCCGAGCCAGCCGCAGCAGCAGCAGGAGGAGAAGGATCGACAGGTGGGGTGACAACAGTGTCGGCAGCAGCGACGGCAGGGGCGGCTGCAGCGGCAGCAGCAGCAGGCAACCTGGTGAGTTCGCTCCAGGGAATGAAGTTCTCAGGCCTGGGGCTCTGGGGGGCTGCTAAGAAACCCGACCCTCCTGCTGCTGACGCTGGGGCTGCCGCAGATGCTGACAAACAAGATGACAGTAAACAAGGTGACAGTAAACAAGGTGACAGTAAGGAGGGCGCAGGAGCAAAAGATCTGACCAGCACAGCAGGGGCGGCAGGAGCAGCAGGAGCAAGAGCAGGGGAAGTCAAGAAGCCGTTTCTGCATATCTTTGTGGGGGAGAGCGGTGCTAAGGACGAGGGGACTGGGGCAGACGCGTCAGCAGCTAAGGCAGGAGATAAGGCAGCAGAGACTGCAGGTGCTGAGGGTAAAACACAGGAGCAGACAGAGAAGGAGCAGCAGGCAGCAAGGGAGGCAGCAGAGGAGGCAGCGGAGGAGGCAGAGGAGGAGGTTGAGAACGTGAATGAGATGAGCGAGGAGCGGCGGGAGAAGGAGGTCGAGGCTCTGATGCTCCAGGCAGAGGCGCTGAGAGGCACTGTCGCGCTCTGCATGAAGGAGTCGGCTGCTGTCAGGCAGATGCTCAGAGAAGCAGAGAGAGAGGCGGAGCGATACGCAGAGAGAGAGCGGGAGGAGCTGCGGGGAGGGGGAGCGGGCGCGGAGGGAGGGGACGGGGAGGTGGGGCTGGTGGCGGTGGTGATTGCAGAGGTGGATGAGGAGGGGATGGGGGTGAGAGAGGGAGGAAGGGGTGGGCGGGAGAGGGGCGTGGGGGTGGGAGGCGAGGAGGGGGAGGAAGCGCTGGTGGTGGCGATGCAAGATGGGATGGCGTCACCCATGGTGCGGGATGGCAGGCCGGGCGGCAGGAGGGCCGTTGACAAGGTGAGGCGACATACGGATGAGTAGATGTGCGTGTGCATGTGTGTGGCTGTGGGGGGTGGAAATGAGCTGCCATATGGATGGGTACAGATGGGTGCATATGCATGGGTGTGTGAGTGTCTGGGGGGATCGTTCTCTTAGCAGGCTTGCTGCGTTTCGAATCCAACAAACTTCAACAGTGTCTGGGGGGAAGGGAGGCAGGTGGCAGGATGGCCGTGGTCAAGGCCGAGTTAATTTCCTCCTTCCCATCCCACTTCACCCATCCCATATCCCCCGTCAACCCTGCCCCCTTCTAACCACCCCCCACCAGCAGCTCAGGGCGGCTGACACTCAACCCCCCAACACCACTCCCCACACCCCCTTCCACAAAACCCCCCCACCGCACCAGCGCGTGGAGGCGCAGAGGGCAGCAGTGGAAGCCAAGGAAGCAGAGCTAGCGCATGTGATGCAGCAGCCCAGAACCTTTCCCCCCTTCTCCTTCCACTTGTCTCTCCGCACTCTCCCCCCAGCATGTGGAGGCGCAGAGGGCAGCAGTGGAAGCCAAGGAGGCGGAGTTAGCGCATGTGATGCAGCAGCTCAGGGTTGTTGACACTCAATGCGCTCTATCCCATTCCCCCCATCCCCTTACTCCCTCCCCCGCACCAGCGCGTGGAGGCGCAGAGGGCAGCAGTGGAGGCCAAGGAAGCAGAGCTAGCGCACGTGATGCAGCAGCTCAGGACAGTTGATTCGCGCATCGAGCAGCTGCTCTCTGCAGAGCCGCCCTCCCCTCCCCGCGCTGCTGCCGCCCAGGTGGGTTTCTGAAGTGGGTTTCTCAGCTCAGGGCTGTAGACTCGCGAATAGAGCAGCTGCTCTCTGCAGAGCCGCCCTCCCCTCCCCGCGCTGCTGCTGCCCAGGTGGGTTTCTGAAGTGGGTTTCTCAGCTCAGGGCTGTAGACTCGCGAATAGAGCAGCTGCTCTCTGCAGAGCCGCCCTCCCCTCCCCGCGCTGCTGCCGCCCAGGTGGGTTTCTGAAGTGGGTTTCTCAGCTCAGGGCTGTAGACTCGCGAATAGAGCAGCTGCTCTTCGCAGAGCCGCCCTCCCCTCCGCACGCTGCCCCTGCTCAGGTGAGCTTTGAATCACCTGCACCTTCTGAGTTGGTCAGAAGCTGCACTTTTGGTTAGTCGAGAGAGAGGGTTCTCTTTCATCATGCCCTGTGCTTCTGCTTCTGCTTCTGCTTCTGCTTCTGCTGTCCCACTATCATACTTCATGCGTCATGCCTCTGCCACTTGTGTTGCCATCCCTGCCATCCCCTGTCCCACCAGAGTGGAGGCCTGTTTGCCGCCACAGGCTCTCTCTTCTCCTCTATGATGCCGCTTGTTTCCACCGTCACTCTTCCTCGTGCCTCTGCTGCTTGTTCTGTGATCCTCCTTATCATTCCCTGTGTCCCACCAGAGTGGAGGCCTGTTCGCAGCCACAGGCTCTCTCTTCTCCTCTATGATGCCGCGTGCTTCCACCGTCTCCCTTCCTCAAGCCTCCAAAGCCCCTGTCGTGGCCAAGCCCTCGCCCCAGCCTCTTCAGTTTGCACAGTTACTCTCCCTCTCCCTCACCCCGACTGCGACGGTTCAGTCTGTTAAAAGCAGCAGCAGTACCACCACCACCAGCGCCACCACCACCGGAAGTAACACCATTGCACTGCAGCCAACCCAGGCCGCTGCCCTCCCTGCCCCACACCCTGTCGACCTGCCACCTCAGCATCTGCCACCTCAGCACGCACCAGCTCAGCAACAACCTCTGGTCGTGGAACTTCAGCCACTCAGCGTGCCACATCAGCAGCAGCACCTCCAGGCCCAGGATCTAATTCCATACGGGCAGCCCGTCGGGCAGCCCGGGCAGGTCCCCGTGCAGCAGGAAACTTTCTCCAGGCAGGACGAGCCGGCATACGGGCAGGACGCAGGATACAGGTCCGGACACAGGCTCGGGCACGGGTCGTCCGGCGGAGGTTCGCCAAGGTCGGGTTCGGGAGGGCTAGACCCAGGTTCGCCCTATTCGGACGACTACCCGCCTTCTCTTCAAGCGGTAGATCTGAGGTCGCCTGGGGGGCCGATGGATATGTCACCCGATTCCATGGGGGGCTATGAGGGGCAGGGCGGGTTCGGATTCGGAGGGTTTGGGCTCATGACGGATATTCCTTGATGAACCAAAGCCGGGGGAGGAGCAGGAGAGGGAGGGGTGGGGCAGCAGGCAGAGGGGCAGGGCGGGTTCGGGTTCGGAGTGTTTGGGCTTATGACAGACATCCCTTGATGAAACCTAGGATCACTGAAGTCAGGGGAGGGGCTGTGGACCTGAGGTCCCCTGGGGGGTCCATGGATTCTCTCCTGCTTCCACTGGGGGTTATGAGGGGCAAGGTGGGTTTGACAGACACTCCTTGATGATGGTTAAGAAACACGGCTGATTCAGGGGAGGGGCAGGTGGGGACGGGGAGGAGGGTGAGGGCTAGTCCCAGGCTCCCCTATTCAAATGATGTCTCGCCGTCTCTACAAGCCGTAGACCTGAAGGCTGTGCATTCACGCGACCCCGCGACCCTGCATTTGTGGGGGTATAATCATATTTATGTAAACAGCCCGGCAGACTGAAGTCCATGTTGGGAGTTTTGCTGCTGAGGGATCCGCCCTCCTTGGCTCTCCTTGGCTCTCATTGCTTTAGCTCGGTGCCAGGCCGTTGAGAGCAATATGGTAGTCGAGGGGCCTTAGAGTGCCTAGACAAAATGTACTCGGTTGTATTTAGAAAGCTTTCTTTCTTTCATGTAGCAATGGCATCGTCTCATTTCAAATGGGTTTAGTACAATTTGAAATCCAAGCAGCCTATCAGACTAATGTGCTAACACATTTCAAGGGGTGGGTGGGTGGGCGGGAAAATCGGCTAAACCGTTTGAAAATGAGAGACGTGGGTGGAGGGAAATGACCTCCAGCCCACGTTTTGTACTCCAAAACGGGCAGTTTAGCGCGGTTCGTCGCTGCCCATTCCTACATTACAGACTGCTTCGCTTTCAAAATACGAATTTTTGAAAAGCGTTACACTTTTAAAAATATTCATATTTAGGAAGCGTGATTTCTTTCATGTAGCAATGGCATCTTCTCATTTCAAATGGGTCTTCTGAGACATGTGCAGTGGAGGTTGTCGTCGTCGCATCAGAGCCGCTGAGTGTTGCGCTGGTGACGAGGCTCGTGCCGGGTCTTGAACGTACCGAGACGCTTCGACCAGCTGATCGACCGCCGGGGTGATGTACATCTCCTTGGCAGTATCGCTGCACCACCGTCCCAACTGTTTCAAAAAGCGATCGGGTACTCCTGAGTTGGCGGCGGCAGTGGCTGCGCCTTTGCGAAAGGAGTGGGTGCCGAGATGCTCGAGACCTAAGCCGATCCTTTGGAATGCCTCCTTGCACTAGTTGCGGATTGTTGTGTAGGATGGTGAAGTGGCGGTAGTGCCGAGACTCGTGGTGTCTTGATCGAAAACTCGTATGAGCGGGCCTCTTTGTGCATGGTTGTATCCCGCCAATTGGATGAAGCGCTTGGTGCACCGTACGGGGCAGAAGGGACCTGAGCTTGCTGCTACTGGAACCCATGCACCTTCTCCTGCCTGGTCAGTCTTTGAGCGGGGAATAAAGAGCCACATGGCGTCTTCCTCGAACTGGATGTCGTGCCACTTAATTTCGACGAGGTCCGAGTAGCGTAGAAAGCCGGCGTACATTAGGATTGGGATAAGTCCCTTCTGGAACTCGCCGGGGTTGTTTGACTCCAGGTATTCCGACGCCATTTCGTGGACTTGGTGCAAAGAGATGGGCTCTTTGAGTCGTCGGGGGCGCGGGCAATGTCTCTTGGCGAATTCCCGCACTTGGGATGTGAACGGCCCAGTTGATGGGCACGGGGCCCCGATCATCCGATGTGCGAAGCTGACTGTCGAGCATGTCAGTTGTATCACTGATACTATGGCTTTTTGTTGAATCGCATGGACCAGGTATAACGCGAGTGTCATGTCTGTGCATGGCAGAAACTGTAGCTTGACTCGTTTGCAGAGTTGCGCGGAACTTGGCCCAGTACGGCTCGTAGGTGCGAATCGTAGAGTCGGCCTGTGTTTGCGCAGTTATATGGAGCAATTCTTGCTTGAGCCTCTCAAGTAATCCTGCACCAGGTTCGTGAGAGGTCAGGTAGCGAACGACACTCGTAAAGCGAGAATAGGGCTATGAGGCATTCCTTCGCCAGAGAAGGCACAAGTGTGGGTGCCCGCGATGAGGCACTGACTCCCATGGGTGAGGTGGATGTGAGCGCGAATGCAAGGGGTCCACTTCGGTGGGGTGGTTTGTAGCAACGGCCACCAGCTTGCCCCTGGCTAATGAGGCACTACGAGCGTGAGCGATGCTCGTGTCCGTTGGGCGTGGTGAAGCACTGCTGGGATGAGGTGTGGTGGTGGGAAAGCATAACCGTGCTCAGCGTTCCACGATATTGAGAAGGCGTCGGTAGCCTCTACGTCCGGGTGAGGTATTTTGGAACAGCAGTGGGCCAACTGTGTGTTGCTTGCATTGGCGAATAGATCGATGGAGTGCGGTCCCAAACGCCGCTCAATGAGGCGGAACCACGGTGCTTTAATTGAGTAGTCATCTCGATCGATCATCTTGGAGAGTTCGTCCGCTCGTGTGTTGAGCTCGCGTGGGATCCATTCGACCGTCAAGCGAATCCTCGAGGCCATGCACGTTTGAATAATGGCTCTGCATGTTGTGGTGAGACTAGGGCTTCGAGAGCCGCCTTTGCGAAGAATGAAGAATACGCCTTGGTTGTCAGTTCTGGCTAGGACGTGTCGGTTGTGGATCCCTCCCGCGCACGTTTGGAGAGCCCATAGAGCTCCTTCCATTTCTCGTTGCGTGCTCGAGGTCCTAGTGAGATGCTCGAGCATTGCTGCATTCGCCTTGGTTCGCCCTCCCGGGAACGTGTCTAGTGTGGCTCCCCAACTGTGTGCGCTGGCGTCCACATGGATCACTGCGTCATAGGTGCTCGGGACGTGGAAGGAGGCGCCATTGAAGTTGTCGAATTCTTGCAGCCAAAACCCGAGTTCCTCGATTACGACGGGGACTAATGGCACCTTGCTGTTCCATGAAGCGGCCTCCTGAATGGTCTGCAGCAGGTTCTGGCTAAATGCCCGTGCAGTTGCGCCGATGGCAAGTGACATCGAAGCGAGCATGCCAGTGACCCTCGCTACATGGCGGATCGGGACCTTGCGCTAGGCTCTGCCTGCCATGCAAAGTTCTTGAATGGTCGAGCGTAACGATGCACGCCGCTCGGGACCAATGGAGAACTGGCCGTGCTTAGTATCCAGTTCGACACCCAGAAAGCGCAGCTGCTGGGTGGGTTGCAGATGCGACTTCTTAGAATTAATGACTAGCCCCGCCTTGTTGAGGTCCTCCACCACCATCTGACACGTAGTTCAAGCCTCTGCTTCCGTGTGACACAAAAATATGATGCTGTCAACGTACGGGATGACTCGTACCCTGAGGGCCCGCCAGCGGCGGGCGAGCTGCTTGATAAGTTGCGTCAATACAAATGGGGCCGTCGCGAGGCCGAAAAGGAGGGACCGAAAGACGTATGAGCGCCCGTCGAATTGGAATCCCAGGTACTTCCAGCATGACGGATGGATGTCGACGTGGTGGTATCCTGATTTGAGGTCGACAGTGAACATCCCATCGCCTATGCTGACGAGCTCCGCCACCCGCTTCAATCCCTCGTACTTGAATTTGGGGATGCTCAGATTTTGGTTTACTCTTCGGAGGTCAAGAATCAGTCGGCACTTGTCTCTTTGAACCACGTTTAGTGGAGTGATGCAGAGCTGTTGGGATCCGGGGGCGATAATGGCCGCACCACTATCAAGGAGCTCGATTATGGCCTGCTTGGTGAACTTTGAGTGGATTAGTGCTCCCGCGTGGTTGTCTTGCTGAAACGGCATGGGGGCCCATGCTTCCATGGCATCCAATAGCCATTTAAAACCACCGAGAGTATGAAGCTACTCTCGCACCATGAGCTCCACCAAGGAAATGCTGCGCGCAGGCGTCCGCGCATGATCGTGACGAGCCTCGTACGAGTCATACTCAACCATCGAGCCGATACCCGGTGTATCGTCTTCGTCTTCTTCATTGTCGCTGTCGGTGGGGTTGTTCATGACTGGGGTCGCAACGGCGCGTGTGCCTTCGCCCCTTCCAGATTTTGTCGTGCGAGCACGCTTCACGGACTCCGTTTTCGCCTTTTCGCTTTTAGCAGAAACCGAAGTTGCGTTTGGTGTAGCGATTTCTTCAGTAACAGCAAGGGTCTGCTGCTATAACAGGGTCAGCAGCTGCTGCAGTTGGGCTGCAGTGAATGATGGCGCCACTTGCGCGCCCGTCGCCACTTGCGCGTGAGGCCCCACAGGCGCGTCAGGGCCCACAGGCGCGCCAGGGCCCACAGGCCTGCGTCGCTGGCGCGGACGCGGGGTGCCAACCGCGCTGGTTGGTGCTGATTTGGCGCCTTCTGTCGTGGCCGGCGCGTCAGGGGCCACAGGGGCTCGAGGCACACCAGGGGCGTGTGCCTCGACACCAGCAGCGTGTGCCTCGACACCAGCAGCGTGTGCCTCGGTCGCGCCCAGCAGGACGTCGACGCCAGTCGGGGAAATTTCCCCGTTGTGAGGATCTAGGATCGAGTTCATAAAAGAGAATGAGAATTGAGTCGAATTGAATTGAATTGAATGTCCACCTGGGTACAACACGAGGCTATATATAGGCTCGACACAAGGCCCCGTAACCAGGTGTTACGCGAAGGTTCCGCGGGTCGCGAAGCGTCCCGAACAGATCCTTACCGAATTCGGTAGAAGGCAATTCGGTGGCAACCGAAAAGCCAGAATTCGGTGCACGCAACCTAGCTCGGTGCTATAACTATAATAAAATATAGGAAAGCACCTAGCCTAGGAAATCAAGCAATTCATGCATGCATATGATTATCCTATGCTAGAAATAGCATGATAAAGTAGAGGCAAGCAAGCATAGCTGGCATAAGCCGTCGTACTCTCACACCCGTCTTCTGCCCGGCGCTTGTCTGGGCGATCGCCCGCGATTTCGCGTGCGTTTCTTGCAGACTCGGGTCGAGCGGGGGCCGTAGCGGTATTAGACTCCCCGCTGT